AATGCACTCTTCTTGGGAAACTACTCATATTCTGCAGCTATGCCAGTTCTCCGGAAGCCATCAACTCAGCTAAAGAAAATATAAGTGTGCCTTTTTAAAAGAATCCAATTTACAAAATTAAAATTAAAAAAAAGATGACCACTTATACAACAAAGATTAACCCTTTGATTATTTAAAAAACACAAACTACCTTACTGAAAACATTTAAAATATAATGCTCAAGATACACACACACACACACACACACACACACACACGAGATCAACAGAACCTCAGGGATACATCTGCTGTTCAAAATGAGGGACTCCAGGAGGAGCCTGCACCTTGATCAATTTGTTTCTTGGTTTATTTTCCCCTGCTACATTTTGAAACTAAGAAGGCAGTGAAAACAGTATCTCCTTTGTTGACTTTATAAACATTGTTACATGATGATGTCTTAAATCTTAAAATACTACCATGATGATGTGTTGGGAAAAATTTCAAAAGGTGGGTAAACTCGGTTTTCACTTTTCTGTTAAAACTAACTTTATGGGTTTGTTTCTCAAATTTAGGCCTCTCTAAGCCTCAACTTCCCCTGAAGTTCGACCCAAACATCTCTCAATGCCTTCTTGAATGCTATAACATCAACTTTAAACTCATTTGTTCACTCACTAAAAATCATTTACTGAGCTACTCCAATGTGATGGCTCTGTGAGAGGGATACAAATGCAAAGATGATACATTCCATGCCCTCATTAAGAGACTCCCCAGACTTCCCTACATTTGTCCTTCTACTGTCATTCAGGCAAAAAATCTTAGCATCAGCTTTAACCTCATTCTCATTTATCTAAAACTCAATCTTTTCATAGCCACTACCCTAATTCAGAAACTCTTCACTTTGCCATCACTCCCATCTAACATTTACTATGCAACATTTACTAAGCACAGCGCTAAGCGCCATACATGGCTTATCTCATTTAATTTTCACAATAATCCTAAAGGATAGGAATTATTATTATCTATGTTTTACAGATGAGGACATTGAGGCTCAGAGAGATTAAGTAATTCATCTATGGTTAGAGTCAGCAAGAGACAAAACTAAGTCTAACGCCAGAACCCATGTTTTTAACCACTACCATATTGCATTCTCATCAATGAATTGCAGTAATCACTTTCCAGTCTCCAATCTCTGAGGATTTTTCCATCCAATGAATCCTTTACCCCTAATATCCTTTCTAAAGAACTCCTCTTTCTATCTCTTACCAACTAAAGTAGGCACTAGTTGTCTCCTTAACTTTCTCCCTAAAGTGGAGGGTGAGGGGCTCTTATCTTCTTTTGTACTCCAAGAAAATAAGGAGCACTTAGTAAGTGCTACATACTTGCTTGATGCGAAATCCCTCCTAAATATTCTTAAGACTTTTATTTTATTGTAAGAATACTTAACATGAGATTACCTTCTTAACAAACTTTTAAGTGTACGATACAGTATTGTCAACTATAGGTACAATGTTGTACAGCTTATCTATAGAACCTACTCATCTTGCTTAACTGAAACTTTCAAACATTTTTAACAGCTCATCATTATCTATAAAATAAATCCAAATGCCTATGTTTGGCATTCATACATTTCCTATTTTTTATTTTCTATTTCTCAACACAAATCTTGTTCTACATACAAAAAAATTACTAAATTTTAATATTTTCTTCCACATCTACCACGACCAACTTACTTAAATATACAGTTTTTCTTTACCTACTTTTGGAAACCTCCTCCTCACTGGTATCATAGTTTAACCTGTTGTTAAAACAAATAAACCACAGCTCTGATTTCTAAGGGCTTTCTTTCCTAAAAAGATCCATAAAACAAATGCACAAAGAGACTAAATTAACGTGGAGGCTGAGAGTAAAGAGAGAAGTTGACTTAGATAAAGTTTATCTCCAATTCAAAGACTCTAAAATCTGAATGATTTTATGATATAAGAATGATATACCAATTTTATGATATAAGAAATCATCCAAAGGTGGAAAACTGTTTTTTTTTCTTTTGTGTCCTTTAATTTGTCTGCAGAGTGAAAAGGTGCTTTTCTTCAGATGACAAGATTTTCAGTAAGCTGTTGTTTCCAAAAGACCTGATGGTTCTTACAGTAAGCTCCAGTTTACTTACTCATTTAACAAATTCTTGAGAAATAGAAATGAAAGTTACTAACACATTCTAGTAGGAGAAAGACTAAATAATCACACAAGTAAATATATAACTACAAGTTCTGAAAAATGACATAAAGTACAGGGCATGATGGAAGATTATAACAGGGTACCTGATTTAAGACTTAGCGGGCAGAGGTTAGAGAGTATCAAGAGAAGGCTTCTCTGAGGAAGCACCACTTAAGCTAAAAATTAAAGAATGAGTTAATTGGGGGATGGTTTTGCTGGAACAATCCAGGCAAACAGAAGAGCATGTGCAAAGGCCCTGTGATGGAAAATAACTTGGTGTGACTAAGGAAATGAAAAGCAGTGTGGCTGGAGTTTAGTGAGGGAGAAGAGGATGATTCAAGATGAAGCTACTGAAGCAGGAAAGAATCAGGTTACACAGAATCTTCTAAACCATGGTAAGGATTTTGAATTTTACCCTACATGTAATAAACACTTAGTGATGGGAAATCCACTGAAAGACTTTAAGAAGAGAAATGACATGTTACTGCTAAATGGAGAAGTGATGTGTTTGTTTGGGTTTGGGGAGGAGAATGAAAGGAGCAAGAATGAAAGAAAATAGGGCAACTAGAGAGGAGAGTATCGACCTGGTTCAGATTATAACAACAATTACAATAACAATTAATGCTTACTGGCTATTTACTATGTGCCATGTGCTTACTATGGTTATCTCGTCCAATCCTCATAACAATCCAACAAGGTGATTATTATTCCCATTTTACAGATGAGAATACAGGGAACCAGTGACATTAAGTCTAGGTAAAACAGGATTGTGGCTTGAACAAGAAAAGTAATCCTGAAGATGTACAGAAATAGATCGAAGACATATATTGGAAACAGAATAAATAGAACTTGAAGAGGGTATGGATACATGGGATAAGGGAGAAGTCAAGAATGGCTTTCAAGTTTCTAGCCTATGGAAGTGGATAAATGGATATCCAGTTAAAGAAACAGGATACTGGAGGAGAAAGAATTGGGGTATGGAAACACGAAGACTTTGGTTTTAGACTTGTTATATTTTAAATTCCTAAGAAAAAAAATCAAGTTGAGATGTCAAGCAGACAGTTGGCTATTTTGATCTTGACCTGAAAACAAAAGGAACAGGTTGGAAAAAAAAATTCTTAAGTCATCAATACATAGGTGGAATTTAAGGCTTAGGGTGGAAGGGAAGAGTAGGAGAACAGGTCCTCGGACTGAACCTAGACATTCCATTTTACCCTGTCAAACACCTCTTCCTATGATCATTGGTTACTTTGATGTCACTGGGCTTCTCAGTCCTCATTCAACTTTACGTTTCAGCAGAATTCAACATTATTGATTACTTCTTCCATCTCTTTTACAAGATTGGTACTCGTCTATCCAGTTATTAAACTCCAGGAATCCCTTAGTGTTCCATCCTAGGTCCCTTTCTTTTTCAGCACTACACTCTTTTTAGGCAATTCAATCCATATCCACAGCTTCAATTACCATCAGCACAGCAGAAAAGATATATACATTAACCTATCTCTCCAGCCCAGAACTCTCTTCTGAGCTCCGACCCAGTACGTCCAACTGCCTACTTGACATCCTCTTAGATATCTCTTCCCGTTAGAGACTTGTCAGATACTGCCACCCCAAAAAAGGCATTTACACGAAGCCAAAATTTTGAAAGGATGACCACAAAACCACTACAGCCCAACAGGACACAGGATTTTGTCATCAGTTATCGTTTCCTTTCATGGACCATGACCTAAAATAGGTAAACCTGACAACCTGATCTGATGGCTAGAGATGGGGAGCAACCAAATGCACGACAAAAAATACAATTCACGCCTTTTAGCGAGAGATAGTTAAGACAAGGAAGAAGGGGAAGAACGGTCAAGAGAGTGAGAGAGTATCATGTCCAAGGCCTGATGGATGTGCGGCAACGGAAGTCACCTGAAGACACAGCGGGCCGCGCCAGGGGCGAGTGGCGGACGCCGACAGCCCCCCCGCGAAAAGGGGCCAGGTTCGGACTGCGGAGGGAGCGAGTGACAGCAAACGCCGGGTCAAAGGAGAGAGAAATCCCGGGGGAAGACCCAAGTGGAGTACCTGTGAGGCCCGGGAGCGTCGAGGGGGTGGGGGCGGGCTGAGCGGCAACCGGGCGAACTCCGGAGGAGTGAACGCCGAGTGGGCGGACCGCACGGGGCGGGGGGGGGGGGGGGGGGGGGGAA